ATTAAAATCCTAATGAATCTTAATCAAATCTTAGATCAAATATTAATTAAAATCCTAATTATAATTCTAATAAATCTTAATAAAATTTTAAATAAAATTTTAATAAAATCCTAAATCTTAAATCAATCTTAACAAATCATAATAAAATCCTAATCAAATCCTAATCAAATTCAAATAAAATCATAAATCTTAACCAAATCTTAGATAAGTTCTAAATCCTAACCAAGTTCTAATCAAATCTTAATCAAATCTTAGATCTTAATCTAATTCTAATCAATCTTTAATCAATCTTTAAATCTTAAACAAATTCTAATAACCATATATCACATTAATAATTTAATAACTAATGATTGAATTATTGATTTTGATTCAAATTTTTTATATCTTGTAATAATTAAGTAAGCAACAAATACAAAAAAATTGAAAAAGATTGCATATACCAATAGAAAGCAAAGCTCCCAAAAACCTCTCAGTCATTGGCTACCCTCTTTCTCTAACTTGAATGTTGATCTTTCAATACCAATTTCTCCTTACTAAATTATTTAATTGCTTCAAAAATTGGATTTTATATAGATATTCAAGTCTTAAATTTCTTTACAAAATTTTACTTCAATCCAACTAGAAAATATTTTTAGATCTTGGAATCACTTACTAATCTTAAATTTCAAATTTTCAAGACCGTAATTCATAAAAATCCTTTGATCACATGTTGAGGTCAATTAAATTCTTCACATTCATTTACAATAAGCACAAAAACAAATTAACTAATTTTCATCCATAAAAATACTACAAAGCTTAAGAAATTTTTAAATTTTTAAATATATTTTTATTTTTCAGAATCTAAATCTACCAAATATATTATTAACTTTGAAAATTCTTCAAAATATCAATATTAATCCAAATGATATAAAATCAATACTTAAAAATAAAATTCAAGTCAACTTTCAAATCTTATTCTTGAATTTGAAAAAAAATTGTAGAGTCATTGTAAGTGATTTATTTTGTTCCTTAAGATCTTATTTCAACTAAGATTGAAAACTATTCCTCTCTAAGTATTAATTTTTAATAACTTGAGGCAAGTTTTATTTTAATCTATCATTTATTCTTTCTTAAATATTCTCATATTAATTTCTCATTTCATTTATTTTAATTTGGATCATTTATGCCTTTACAAAAAAAAATTGAAGTTCGTTTTATAAAAAATAGCATAACAATTCTTTTTTTTATTATCTTTATATTATTTATACTTATTTTTTTACTACATCTTTCTATTAGACTCTTTTATAATAACATCCATATTTTTATTTTTCACTATATATTTGTATTACCACATAATAATATGTTGGTAGCTTGTGGTACAAGCTAATAATTTGGCATACATCTAGGAAACTTGCCTTGCATGTTAAGACATGTATTTTAAAATTAGACATGTGTTGGAGGTCCTATAGAATGTTGCTTATAACTCTTATATAGATAATATATATAGATGTAAGAGTGAAGCTTTTTTTCACTCTTATCATATTCTTCCTTGCTTTTAGTCTAGTTTTAAGACTATATAGTTTTTTAGCCTTTGGCAATAGCCATTTAAATTTCTTATTAAATATATATATATATATATATATATATATATATATGTATATATATATTATTTTTAATTTATCAGCTCTTTTTGAATTATTTCTCACTTATTTATGTATTTACTATAAATTCTTATTTTTAACAAAAATTCAACAAATATCTATATAAGTAGGTACTTAAATTGGTTCTTTTTTTAGAAATAGTAGCCATATAATAATAATTAATTATGACTTTTAGATGTCTACTTATTATAATGGTTTTTGCATTTAAATCACTTGTTATTTCATTCTTAATTGTTGTTATGTTGGTTGTCACCATATACATCTAAAGAAGTCATAATCATGGTCCTACCTCATATCTTTTGGCAAGAAGTTATGTTCCTATAATTAAAATAAATTTCTATATTTGAAAAAAATAATTTAATTACTGAATTATTGAATTAGTAGGAAAAAATGAAGAATTTTGGTGAAGACATGATATTGTATATATTGAAGATCTTAGGATAGTTGAGTAGGAAGGATGTATAATTGATTAGGTTTTAAAGCAACACATCTAGTGAAAAAGAAGGCTATAGAATGAAAGCAAGACAAGAAAGATAAGCTCATATTTGGAGATATAGATTATTTTTAATACTTTAGATATTTTTTTAATTTATTTTTAGATTTTTAGATATACATAAATCTCTATTTCTAATTGGAACTAAAGCCTCAAGAGTTCCTTAACATTTATATTTTAGAAGACCTATTTGGAAGTAAAGTCCAACATCTTTTAGACTGTTTATGAATTTGTGGAATTAATTGCCTTTCTATGCCTTATATTCAACATGTCCTCACTTCACGTCTAAAATAGTAATTTCATGAAACCTCTTTTGAATTTCTTTTAATTTCTTTTAATTTTTAGTTAAAATTTTTTTATATCATGTGACTAAAAAAAGAAACTCTTAGATCTTCTTTTAGGATCTTAAGAAGTAATATTTAAAGATTTGTCCTCAAATCCTAATCTAACATGATAATTGTTGTTTAAAATATGAGATTAGGATTTAATTTCATGACTAAGGTTGGTGAAAACCTTCCAAGTGAGCATCTAAGGGCCTTAGAAACCTTAATCAAGGATATTAAAGATTTTATTTTCTTGTCCAAAGGTTCAAATGAACCATCTCTAAAACTATTTTTTAAATATCCACATCCATAGAACAACATTTTTGGAGATTTTATCTTTTTTTAAATCATATATCTTATAGAACAAATAATTGACAATCATTTCTAAGAATTGATTATCTAAAGGAATTGATAGTTCTGCCTTTTTCTACAAGATATTGAAATTAATTTGCTTTAATTCTTTAAAAATATTCTTTGTGATTTTTTTTCATTTATACAAGTCTCACATATCTTCTACAATGGTATTTTTGAAACTCCACCAACTTATCTATTGTTAATCATGTGATACAAGGTCTAAAATTTAATATTATTATTTAATATTTTTAGATTATTATTCAATGATAACATCAATTATATTATCTTATTGATATTAAATATTTGAAATATTTTTTTATTATTCTTTTTTAATAAATTAACAATATAAACATGACTTTTTTTTCTTTATACTTGATATAGTTTATTTTTTTCTCTAACAACTTATAAATAAATTTACTTTGGATTATCTTTATTAAATACATAATATTATCTAGAATTAAATAATATAATATGATCTAAATTTATAAAGTTATTAACTTAAATAAAGTTAGTTTATACTTTTAGAACTTAAAAAATATTCTTTATTTTTATTTTTATTTTTTCAAAGAAAGACATGAATTATACATTTTTTTCTCTATTGACAACCATGGTTTTCTTCTTACTAGATATTCTAAATTCTTCTATTTATAATAATAATTTTTTGTTGCTAATGACATATGAACTTCCTCCAAATCCTAAGAACTACTTCTTTTTAAAATCAAATATATCAAATTAATCATTTATTATAACCTCAATTATAGAGTCCATTGCATATTCTTCATCTTTATCATCATTGACTATATCGGTATATCTTACTTCTTTTTTTAATAATTATACTTATATTTGACATATTTAATCTTTAAAATTTATTATGTTATATTAATAGGCAAAAGACCTAGATTTATCACATTTGTGACACTTAATATGTTGTTTTGACTTTTATTCAATTTTAATCATGTTGGTACTTATTGAAATTTGATAATAATTATTTCTTCTTATTTGATTATTATATCCAAATAAATATATACTAAAATTTTAATATAAGTATCAACAATTGAGTCTAGAACTTCTTCTATAATGTCATCTTCTTTATAAAAACTTATTCTTCATCATCTTTGGTCTTCTTAAGTTAATAAGAGAGTTCTTATAATAATAAGCCTTCTAATTTAAAAAATATTGATTATTTTTACTTACTATTTTGAATTTTCTTGAAATTAGACCAATTCTTCATAAACTATTTAAAGTCAAAATAATAAGATCTTTATTAAGTACAATTATGCAAATTTTGGCTAATTAATTTAGAAATAAATTGATTTCTTATAAATGTTCTTTTAAGACTTTTGTTTTGTTATAACCTTAGTATATATAGCTTTTTTTTCAATACTAACTTTCTATTTAAGTTTTCTACATTATACAATCTTTGAAGTCCATTTTATATTTGCATGGGACTTAAGAATACTAATAATATGAAAATTAATAGATTTTTGTATCATTAATATAATGATACAACAAACTCAAATACAATCTTAAAATGTCATAGTTGACATTGTATTTTTAGTTAGCATTGGTTGATATTGTATTGTTGAATTTTGGACCTTGTCATTCAATAATAGATATTATACATGCAATTCCAACTAAAGGTGAAGATTCTATAGATTCTTCAATGGTGATGAAATTAGATTTAGACAACTCTGTTAGTCACCAAAAAAATTCTTGTATCAAAATCATTAAAATTCTATTGCCCCATAATGTATAGTTAGATGATTCTTCTAATTTCATAGTTTTATTAACATCCCTTATCATTGGATCCATGACTCTTTACTGTAGATCTATAAGAAAGAAAGAAAGAAAAAGTTCTCCACTTCTTCTAAACAACTTTGCCTAGTCATTTTTATAATATACTCTCAATAACTTGCTCAATCCAACACACTTGTTTGCTAAATAGAAAGTGTACAATGTTCTAGTTTAATGTAATTATATTAAGATGAATGTATAACGGTATTGGCATATCTAGTTCTTCCGTCAAGTGGTGGATGAAACACTAATGGGTGAACAATAACAAATAAACCCTAATGGATGAAATCTAATGGATATTCACACCACCAAAAGAAGCTGGTGTGCCTCCATGAGGTGGAATAGGATTCAAACAACTGCCAGCAAGTGAACTTGATGCTTGATTGGGGCTGCAGATACCTGAATTCAGAACTTCATTGCCTCATCCTTACAAGTTTACAAGGTCCCACTTCTCCAAGTGTGGCGACTGGAGCTGGATTCCAATATCCATGGCCTGTGGTAGCTTTTCATGTCTGTAGTGAAGCGGTTCATTCGTGTAAAGTCTGTCTGTCCTTGGATCTAGCATTGCTAAGATAAAACTTTCCTGGATCACTGTAACAGTACTGGATTCAAGAGTATCGTCATTAGAGATTACAATTGTTTCACTTTCCTTACTACAGGCCGCCATGTATTCTTGATAAATGGAATTTCTACATCCACATCTATTTAAGACTAGAATTCTGGTTTCAAAATCAACAATCGCAAAGAACAGTCCTGCATTCCTTGCCTTCAAATGAAATTTCGGTCTGTCTTTTAGAAAATCAGAGTATTCGTGGTAGATGAGAAAAAAGCCAAATGACAGTCTTATTCAAACAGTTAAAAATTCTACTGACAAGGCAATCGTGGCATGTACATACAAACCAAGTCTACATACACTCTTAGCATTGCAACCGATGGAAGTGATCTCTGTTCAGAACAACCTTATCTTCAACAATCCTTCCTTTTTCATGTTCGCCTCAGCTCAGACTTGAAGGATTAATTTGAATAAATTTAGCACATTGTTTGCATTCCTCTGACGTCAAGAATTCGCATTCGCGAATCCCTATCATTTTTGAAGCACATTATTCAACATGTTCACCGGAACGGTTACTGGCCATGCGACTTAAACTTGACGTGGCAATAGGGAAGGTCCGGGGTTGCACAAAATCCGCTGAACTGCAGCTGCAAAGATGGCTGAGAATGATATTAGTACCAAAAACACCGCACCAGTGCCCAATATGAAACCAGCGAATCCACTTCCTCCCGGTACCATTGAACCATTTTTAGCGTGTTCAGAAAATTTAAATTTCTTTCCTTTAGATCGAAGCCTTTCTATTCGGTTGACGTAGAGCTGCAAAACAAACAAGGACAGTAGGTGTCAAAACAGGAGTTGCGCAGACCAATTCCTAAAAACTAAATCTCCCAGATAATCCGAACTGTCATTAGTCCGGTCCGTCAGAGGAACTACAGTTTCTCCTACAGTAAACGGGAGATCGGAAGACCGGTGCAAGACAGACAGTCATAATCTACATTCACTTACGGAAGGAGTTCAAATCCAGACATAACACCATGCGTTGCGTATACCAAGGGGACGGGAATTTACCTGACGTGACATTTTCTCGGATTCGATAGTTTTCTCCAGCTCCCAGACGGCTGCAAACTTCAGGTAGACTCCAACGATTGCAGAGCAGGATGCGAGCAAGGACAGAGAAAATGGGAATCCCCAGTTGTTGCAATGCAGGAGATTCGATTGAGAAACTGCTGTAAGCAACACACCTTGAAAGACGCTGTAGAACCCTATAAGCTGGTACACCTCATTCTTCAGGGCCAAGCTCTGCTTTCTCTTGTTGTCGACCCTCCTAGTGCATAAGTTGTCCTGCGCTTCCCAAAACTCCAGAGCCTTCTTGTGTCGGGTGCTCGACTCGATCCATCGAAGGATTTTGATCTGATTCCTAGCAGTAATGTCTTCTTTGTCAGTGTCGCTATCTGCAACTGCTCCGCTGCCATCGCCGCTACCTGCAACTACTCCGCTGCCATCGCCACTACCTGCAACCACTTCACTGCCATCGCCGCTACCTGCAACTACTCTGCTGCCATCGCCACTATCTACATCTACTACGACATCCGAATGGACCGGTACCGGACCATTACTAGATTCCTGTTCCATTTATGCAACCACACAGTTTCCCAAAACCTGAACTTTCCTAGCAAGAATCAACGTCTGCACACTCAAAAGCTTGTCGAAACAAAAGACTCCCACAAGTGAGACTTCGAGGCAACTGAAAGAGATACTGTCAGATTCAAAACTCTAATTTTTCAAGGAAGCTCGTCAAGATACCCTCAAAGTACTGTTCACGAACTACTCCGTGCCTCTGCCCATCCGTGACCATACATCCTCCCACCACCCCTCCTCGCCATGCCCTGCAGAATCCATCCTCTTGAGCAATTGCGTCTCGCGTTGTGCTTGCCGCTCGAGGCCGACTAAAGACTATTTCCGACAACATATCGACAAATGAGGAATCAGAGCATCTAACCGATATATGACAGCCAGGCACTGGGTAACAACCTTAAAATACAAACAAGGTGTATAGACTTAAGTCGAGAATCACGATCTCAAGCCATTTTCGATTTTCTGTTTATATTTTTTGAACACAATTGGGGAATAAATAATGAATTAATGAAATCAGGAGATACAAGGTTTTTGTGGCCCTAACACCTTATAGATAGGCCAAGTTGAACTCAGTAGAAGATATGCTTATTTTTATGAACCTAAGTAGACTTTACACTCAGAAGTCAAGTTTTAAAAGTCACGATTCAAAATATTTACAAAGGTTTTTAACTTGATAAAAAATGTTGTCTTTTGAAAGTCTTGAATTTTTAAGTTTTTGTAAAATTGGAGTGGTTTATTACACAAAGTAATGATATTTTTAAAATAATTATGAATTAGGAAGAATCTATCTTGATTTTGGCAAATAAAAAATAAAAAATAAAAAATATTTAATAAAATATTTTGGAAATTTGTTTTTTTTATTTTATTATTACGTGTAGATTTTCTATTTTTTTTTTCTCTAAAAGCATTTCTTAATGTTAATCCAACACAAACTTTAGAAAACAACTTTATTTGTATTATATAGAAACCTTAGTCAAATGCATTTAAAGATTTTCTTACTTAAAATTTAGTAATATATATATATTTAAAGAAGTATTCTAAATCATAATAGATTTTCTACATAATATGTGTAATACATTATAATTATAGGGAGTTATTAAAGCCACACCTTGCATTACCATCTCATGATCAATTTCATCTATCTCCATCTCTATCCTTTGTTCCATGTTCCCTATCCTCTGTTCCTAATTCCAATGTCTTATTCTTTGTTTCTTGTTCCATATCTCATATCCTTTGTTCTTAACCTCAATGCCTTATTTTCTATCCCCATTCCTTGTTCCATATCCTCTAAAATTAATCATCACATGGTTTGGAAGGTGTGGCTTTAACAATATTGGAGTGTGACTTTGACAATTTCCTAATTATATTATAAAAAAAACTAAAATAATATTTCATACTCAAACTTTTGTAGTCCAAATTTTCTTTAGTTAAGCCAATATAAATACTTAGCTTCTCATTTGTTTAAGCATTGTTTAAATTTTTAACATCAATATTTTGTAGCATATAATTTTATATTTCTTTTTGTTCTTTTATTTTTTTATTTCAATAAAAAATAAATATTTTTGTAATATGTATCATATATTTTTAATCATTAATAGATGTTAACAAGGTACTTTGAATCTATGTAATTTAAATTAATTTTTACCACTTGTAGTAGTTTCGGCTTAATACTTAAAATCCATGTATTATGAGTTTTTTTTTGTGATTCTCAAATCTTATTTAATAAAGTACTTTGTTTTATCTGAAATACATATGCAATATGCTTTTAGTCAGCTTCAATTTTTTTTTTTATTTTGATACTATAAAAGTTGTAACAACTTAAGTAATTTATTTAATAATTTTACAAATAATGGTTTATAAAACAAATCCTTTAGGTGTTAATTATTCGATTTTCTATAATAAAATTTTTAATTTATTTTTTACAGATTTAAAGAAAAATTAATTATTATACTTATTTTTTGTTATAATTTTTCTTATTAATTGGTTTTTTGTTCAAATAGATGTTATATAAAAAAATATATGTTTAATATAATTTTTAAATTTTTAAATGATTTACATTTATACTTTTAAATATTATGTTATACTAATGTATAATAAAAATAATATATAATAAAGAAAAAACAACAAGGTTTATTAAACATTATTTTTAAAAGTTCTTATCTTGCACCAAAAAAAGAAGATATATCTTTTGATGAACAAAAAATGATTTTTCTAAAACAAGAGCAATTTCATCTTGAAGCAATGAAATAAACATAGTCTCTTGATTCAACATTTTTTAATTAAGTATCATCAAGTATATCCTCAAATCTTCTTATGCACAATATCAAGAATAAGTTTTCTAAATCTAATACTTCTAAATTTGATTGTAAAGACAATCTTTTATATTTTGAGAGATACTTATATATTCTAGAAGGTGAAGCATAGTTACTTGTTCTTCAAACTTGCCACAATTTCCAACTATGAGATATTTGAAATACAATAAGACCTTTAAGTTAAACTCAAGAGATTTTTAGTGGCTGTCAAAGACAAACACTAGGAAGTTGTAGAAGATTCTAGAAGGTTCTAGAGAAGCTTTGTAGTTTGTAGAAGCTACATGAGAAGCTTCCTAGTTTGTAGTATATATAAGAACCGAGACTGAAGGGATTCTCAGTCTCAACAACACACCTCTTGGAGCTCTAGCTCACCTCTCTAGTGTTGTTCTTGTACTCATCTGATTAATCTAGTTCTTGCCGATTCTTCTAGAGCTTCTTCTTTAGATTTCCAGTCAGTATTCTAAATTCATGATAGTTTGTCGAGACTGCACTCATCTTTCATATCAGAGCTAGTTCTTTCTTATTAGAGTGTAGATTATCCCTTTGCTTGAAGGTGCTGGCATTTTAGAGGCTGCGGATTACACTCTTCTAAACTGATATTTCTTCTATTATAATATTGGAGACTTATCTTTCTTGAAGAGAGTGGATTATCCCTCTTCTTGAAGATTTTAAGGCGTTTTAGAAGTTGCGGAGTATCCTCCTGTAAACCAATACTGCCTTCTTATAGAGTCATTTCTTTCCTTCTATTAGAATGGTTGGAGGTCAAGATATTAGTATGATTGAAAGTTCGGAGTCCAAGTTGGATGCCATTATGAATGCTCTAGCTATATTATCATAGAGAATTGTAGAGATTGAAGGAGTTATAATAAGACTTCATAATAATGGAGCATCCGGGATGGCACAATCGAGGATTCATAAGCCTCAAGCTTCAACACCAAGAGAAGCAACTTTGCCTCTAATTCAGTAAGGACCGTTGGTTTTACAATGAAAGGAATCCCGAATTAGCCTTTCAGATAAGTTCGATAGTATGCGTTCCAAGTTTCAAGGTTTTGTCAATCAAATTAGATTGATAACTGCTTTACGACCCGAATGCTATCTGATAGAGGAATCACTTGTTGCACTGGTTGGAACTTTGCTCACGGGGCAAGCTCTATCACGGATTGCTCTTTTGTTTGAGAAAAGATTGTCAACTTTTAACAACTTCAAAACTTTTTTGGAGGCATTTGTGGAAGCATTTGGTAAAATAACAAGGAGCATGCTTTGTATCAGTCTACGCATCAGATTTCAGACAATTAGTGTGCGACACCAACTGGAACAAGGAAGCATTGATGAGTCAATTTTATTGGGGCTTGAGGAATGATGTGAACGATTTGTTATTATCTCTTTCCGATCTACGAACGCTCAACAAAGCTATTAGCCAAGCTGTGAAGTACAATAATCGTATATTCCAATGTTGCTTAAACCAACACTCAAGACAACATACGGCTTGCCATGCTCCAACTATGTCAGCAAGTAGCCTGAATTCACATTCAAAGGTAGAAGACATGCAAATTGATGCGGTATGTGTCAAATCTCTAACTTTAGAAGAAAAAAAGTGGCGTATGAAGAAAGAACTATGCTTGTATTGTGATGAAGAAGGCCACAGAGCTGGAAACTGCCCCAAGAAGCAAAATCGACGCATTGTCAAGACCAGAGGCATGTTTATTTAGGAAAACAAAGATGTCCAACCACAATAGGGACTGTGCGGTTGAACAATTCAATACCACAATAACAATCAAGTTCCTCTCTTTCCACTCAGCTTGCTCTTTGTTTTACCATTTTTCTATCTTTTGGCCTTCAAAAACTAAAAACCTTAGCGTTATTAGATTCAGGAGCATGTGCTTACTTTTTAGACGAAGAATTTACTAAGCATCATTAGATTCTTTTAGTACAAAAACCTAAACCCGTTCACGTAGAAGTAATAGATGGACAACCTTTATTGTCTGGTAGTTTCACCCACAAATCAGAACTTATAGAGATGATGTTTAAAGACCATAGTAGTTATATTATTTTTAATATTATTAGAACCCCATCGAACCCTGTTATTCTTAGTCTTTTTTAGTTAGAAATGCATAACTCATCTATAGATTGGAGGTTATCAAAGATGACATTTTCTATAAATCATTCTAAGAGTAAGCCTGTTAAAAGATCCCGAATCAAAAAACCCTTATTTATTGGAGCAAGAGCGTTTGTAACATTGTCTAAAGAAGGCATAGCATTTGTCATTTATGTGACTCCAATTAGAGGAGAGAAGATTTCGATAGCAAGTATACCAGAGCAATATAAGGATTTTGAAGATGTGTTTCAAAAGAAGAATGTCAATATGCTATCGGAGCATCGACCATACGATTGTGCCATAGACTTGTAGGAAGGAGGACAACCACCTTTTGGCCCAATCTACAATTTATCATAGACGGATTTAGTGGAGTTACGAAAGTACATTGACGAGAATCTAGCCAAGAAGTTCATTTTTCATTCAAAGTCGCCAGTTGGGGTACCAATCTTATTTGTGGAAAAAAAAAAGATGGCTCGCTACGAATGTGCATGGATTATCGAGGTCTCAACAAGGTGATAAAGAAGAATCGCTATCCATTATCTTTGATATCAGGTCTTCTAGAACAACTTAGACATGCAAGGATCTTTACAAATATTGATCTAAGGGGAGCTTACAACCTCATGTGAATCAAGGAAGGAGACGAATAGAAGACAACTTTTCGTGCAAGGTATGGCCATTTTGAATATAATGTCATGCCTTTCGATCTTACCAATGCTCCGGCAATCTTTCAACATATGATGAATGACATCGTTCGAGAGTACCTTGACGATTTTGTTGTCATCTATCTAGATGATATTTTGATATTTTTCAAGAATGTAGAAGAGCATGAGAAACACGTTTGTCTGGTCTTTAAAAAACTCCACGAGCGAGGACTTTATGCTAAGTTAAAGAAGTGCTTGTTTGTTATTCTCATTGTGTTCAAGCTTCAATATACCAAAGCAATTGAAGTAATAGAGGTGG